AACTGTCAGATTAAGTTAAAAATATAAAACCACTATAAGTTGCAGAGAAACAAAACTATAAGAAAATTATTTCCTAAAAAGGCTGAACTCAGGCAGCACCTTCCTCCAGTTTCTTTATCTTATTCTTCAGTGAATAAACAAGAGTTTAGGGCTTCCCTGGTGGCGCAGTGGTTAAGAATCCGCCTGCCAATGCAGGGGACACGGGTTCGAGCCCTGGTCTGGGAAGATCCCACATGCCGCAGAGCAACTAAGTCTGCGAGCCACAACTACTGAGCCCATGTGCCACAACTACTGACCCTGTGCTCTAGAGCCTGCGAGTCACAACTACTGAGCCCACGTGCCAAAACTACTGAAGCCTGGGAACCTAGAGCCCATGCTCCACAACAAGAGAAGCCACCGCAATGAGAAGCCCATGCACTGCAACAAAAGGGTAGCCCCTGCTTGCTGCAACTAGAGAAAGCCCGCACACAGCAATGAAAATCCAATGCAGCCAAAAATAAATAAATAAAATAAATAACAAAACAAAACAAAACAAAAACCCAAGAGTTTAGCTGCAATGATTATGATAATGAAGATGAGTAAAGATGATGCAGAATTGCAGGTATTTATTTGAAAATATAAAAGTATCTCTTTTTTTTTTTTTTTTTTTTTTTTGCGGTACGCGGGCCTCTCACTGCCGTGGCGTCTCCCATTGCGGAGCACAGGCTCCAGACGCGCAGGCCCAGCAGCCATGGCCCACGGGCCCCACGCGGGATCCTCCCGGACTGGGGCACGAACCCACGCCCCCTGCATCGGCAGGCGGACCCTCAACCATTGCGCCACCAGGGAAGCCCAAAAGTATCTCTTTTTTATATATCTAGAATGCCTAATTCAAAGGTTTAGCAAATTGTAAGATTAATATAAAATTTATCTCTAAGATAGCTTGCTTTTAATCAAGTTTCATATATCCCATAAGAAAGTATTAGAAACCAAGTACTTATTGTTACACACGATTATAATCTTCAAGATAGTAAAACAGTTGTTCGGATTTTGGGACATTATTATTTGAGTGAGCTCAAGGAAAAGAGTTTTGTGAAAGATAACCTTAGAATACAAAATACGTAGGTATCTATGTATGTAAGTACAAAAATATTTAGGTAGAATTTTGGATTTGATAATAAGCAAACTTATTTCTTATTATCAGAATATAATCATTATCATAATGTTTAATGCCAGTTATTAAAGAATTACTAAGGGTAAACATCAACTACAATTTTTGTTTGTTTATTAGTTTTTAATATTCCACATATGATATTTAAGGTAGCCCTTCTCTCCACCTGTCAGGTCACTTTGCTGACCAATAAAAATGGTTAAAGAATCTGAAAAGGGGCTTCCCTGGTGGCGCAGTGGTTGAGAGTCCGCCTGCCGATGCTGGGGACGCGAGTTCGTGCCCCGGACCGGGAAGATCCCACATGCTGCGGAGCGGCTGGGCCCGTGAGCCATGGCCGCTGAGCCTGCGCATCCGGAGCCTGTGCTCCGCAACGGGAGAGGCCACAGCAGTGAGAGGCCCGCATACCGCAAAAAAAAAAAAAAAAAAAAAAAAGAATCTGAAAAGATAACCAAAACATAACCTCCAGGGCAGGTCAAGGCAAATGGTTTACTAATAAATTTAAGGGACAGATAATTATCATAGTATAAAATCTTTTCAGAAAATGAAAATATATGGAAAACAACTCATTTTAGGAAGATATATTAACATATTATCAAATAGATAATTTTCCCAAAACATTAATAAGTGCCTATGAGTATTCCAAATTCTAGGTCCGAGGTTCTAGGGGTACACATATGAATCAGATTCTTGCTTTCAAGGAGTTCCCAGGCTAGTCGGGGAAAACACATAAATTCAAATGCTGTAGTTAGTGAAATCCACTTACAGCAGTTTGGCAATCTACACAATCTGAATGAACCTTCTAGCACAAACGCTGCATTATCATGGCCAGAAGAAAATAAGGAAAATCAAAGAACAAAAAATAAAAAATAAAAGGACAGTGAAATAACAACTGAAGGTGAGAGGTAAGCAAGCATCCACTCTAGGGTTGCAATGGAGAATAAATCTGTAAGGAGGCGAAGTAGAATATGAGCCTCTTCAACAAGCTGGGACACCCACAGGGCGCTAAAATGGTCACAGGTTGATAGCAGCATCCAGCCCAAAGGAGAAGAAAATGTTAATTTTCTGTGGAAGGCAGCAATGCTCAGTTAGTTCCTCAGGACTCCCACAGGTGAGCTTCAACCATATATTAGTTTAGAATATATATTTGCCAAATAAATAAAGCCACACGTCTTCATGTATTGTAGACCACCATGAATTGACTGTGTTTATCAGTTCATTCTGACTGCCAAATTATATCACACCGTAATTTATTCATCCAGTCTCTTGTCCAGTCTCTACCAAGAACTTTAGTAAACACGCACCATGTACATAAGTGCTATCATTTCCCTCAGGTAAATATCCAGGAGTGGAATTGCTGGTTCAGCATAAATGTGAATCTATTTTCAAGTTCACAAGACAATGACAAAGTTTTGTTTCAAAAATAGTTGAATCACTTTATACTCCTACTAGTGTTATAAGAAATTCTGTGCAACACTTACTATTGTCATTTTAAAATTTTTAACCCATCTAGTGAATGAAAAATTGCATTTCTCTGTGGTCTTGATTTGCAATTCCCTGATGACTCATCAAACTGAACATCTCTTTCTATGGTAATTGGCCATGTTTTTCCACTGTCTTTTGCTCATTTTTCTATTGGCTTGTTTGGACTTAGTTTCAACTTATATCCAACTGTTTACCTGGTCCATCACATTATTCTCAGGCAACAGGACAAATTAGATATCCAACATTAGAAGGGTTCCCAAATACATCATGCCTAGAAATTACTCTGGCATTTGTTCACGCTGTTTGCTCCCCAAGCTTGCTGTGCTCTTCTCCTTCCCCAAAGGGCCTTCAGCTCAGAACAAATGTTACCTGATCTTTGAAGACACCCCTAGGCCTGATAAAATTTGTTCTGTACACCAAGAGCATTTCATTCACGCCACTCCATTATAGCAAACCACCTGTGTACCACATAGATGTCTTCCCCTTCCCTCGCTCTTTACTTGGAAAATAGAAGCTTCTTGATGGCTTATTTATCTCTGAATCTTCAAAAGTTAACAGTTCTTGGGACAAAAGAGGCATTAAATGTTCAAATTCAGAAGAGATGACTTTGCTACAGGATCTAATTTCAACAGCATTTCATTCACATTGTAAGAAAAGCCTTATAGAACAGCTTTAAATTAAGTTCTTTAACAAACGTGTAGGAAGGCATTTTATTAGTCAACTTCAGAAAATCTCAGTCAGTTCTAATTTCAGATATCTTGCATTCTCAAATCATGTGACCCAGTTTTGGTTTGGAAAATGATTACTTCAGGACTGGACACTACCATGGGACTCATACTCACAGACAGAAACAAAAGATTTCTCATGTTCAAATAATTTGGTTATATTTTATAAAGTACATAAAACATGAACAAAAACAAAAAAGCTGTGCTACAAGGGAAAATAAAGTTCTACTAGACAGGTTCAAAAAAATTGAGGCCACCATCAAAAATATAAACAAAAAATTGATTCCAAATAACTTAAATACTTAAAGAATAAATATTTTAAATTATCATATGAATACCTATTTTCATGCTCCACTGCAGTCCCACCTTCATCCTCAATAATCTGATTCACACTAAATTGGGGATTTAATAGGTGCATCTATCTACTCAAATACACTCATTCGCTCACTCAACAAATACAACGGCACAGAAGTGTGCCAGACCCTGCTGCTTCTTTTTAAGTAACTCAGGGATTTTTTCACTTGAATTAAAAAAAGTTGAACTTATGGGACTGTCTCACTGCCCCAGAAATTTAATTAATACCAGCACCATGGATACACTTGAGTATGGAGTAGAAGAAACCACTTAGAAGTGAAATGTCAGCAAATAGGGACGGGAGCCTCCCTGGTAGAGTCAGTAGCACGTAAAGGTTAACGTCAAAGGGTGCAGCATCCAACAGGGCTGGGTTCAAATCCTGGCTCAGTTCTGCCCCAAACCCCGTATCAGTTTCCTCATCTGTAAAATGGTAATTAATAATACATAATTCATAAATTTGCTGGGGAATCAAATGCAATCATGGAGTACAATTTGTCCCAAAGTGTCTGATATTCAATAAATGATATGATGCCAGCCTCTGCTGAGGGAATACAAGAAATGTTTCCCTGGCTAGAGTACATATGAGATATATTGATATATCGCTTAAAGTGAGATAAACATACATCGCTGTCAAGGCTGGGAAATTACCCCAAAGCCAATCCAGGCAACCACCTCTAGGAAGCTAAGTGATTTCACGATGTCTAGACAAGCCGGAGCTGGGGGAGATCAGTTAAGGTGCATGGGATCACACCGCATTTGGGGGCCTTAAGCCCCTTCCCCATTTCCCTCATATAAACAGGTTAGTTAGGAGTGACAGAGCCAGGAGTCGAGCGAGGCCCTTTAATGACTTCGGTTCCCGCCTCTCCCCGCTGGCGGCCCCTGCCTGCGGCACGCAGGTGGGGCCCCGTCTCCAGCTCCGCCGGCGACCCAGGAAAGCGCCCGCAAACGGACCGTTCCTTGCTCTCCCGGGAGGGATTACTGCGTAGGACTCCACGACTAAACAGCTCTCTCGCCACACCCTTTTCACTGAACCCCTTAGAACCCAACTCGCCTCCTCTCTCCTCTCCTCAGCCCCGCCCGCGATTCGGAAAACGACTTTTACTAGGAAGTGAGGGTTTATCTCCCGGCTGCTACCGGGCCACACGACCCTCTCTCCCGAGCAACAGCAGCGCATGGATGCTGGGCAGGACGCTGCCCTGCGCCCCGGCCACGCTGCCGGCTAACTCCTGGATTCCCACCGCTAGGAGTTCAAGCACCGCCGCCGGGTACTCCGGAGTCGCGACGCTCACCTGCTCGGCGCGTCTATCTTTGTGCAGCTGACCCACGGCTAGCGCAGGGGCCGAGGGCTCAGGCCCAGGCCTGGACTTCGCCCACACGCAGCCACCCTGCATTCAGCGCCTGAGCTGGGTTACCCCTTACTCACAAAGTCAGTGAAAAAATAAAATATTCACACCCGGCAGACTCCGGCGCGCCACACTACGCCTGCACCTCGAGCTTTCCTATTGGACGCCGCGACATCCGCGGTCTCAGAGACGGAGCGGGTCGACCAGCGAGAACCCGGGTAGCACCAGCGAGAACCGCCCCCTCTGACGCCTCCTATCCAATCGGAGGAGGATAGCCGGCTCACCCTATTTGCATACAAGCCATTCTATATATGCTCAGGGCCCGAAGCCTCCCCCGCTAAGAAGCGTGTACCACTTCCAAGACGTGGGTTTGGAAAGGTAGCGATGCCTACTTTTCCCAAAAGGAATCCAACGTCGGCAGTCCGGCTCTGAAACAGAGAGCAAAATCACTACTGCCCTGCGCCGTTATTTCCCAGGCTACGTTCTAAGCGCGGACGCTAGGTTCCCGGCTCGAGCTCTGCGGCTCACACCTCCCCAAGCCTCAAGCCTAACCCCAATTAACGCTTCATTTGAAGCATCTATCTGCAAATTCACACGGCAGTTTAAGCACTACCAACTCTTTTCTTGACGTTTTGAGGGCCCTAAAAAGGGCCTTTTGGGATCTAGAGATAAGCCGCAGGCACACCTCAGCCGCCGAAGCCGTAAAGGGTGCGGCCCTGGCGTTTCAGCGCATACACCACATCCATGGCCGTGACCGTCTTGCGCTTGGCGTGCTCCGTGTAAGTCACCGCATCACGAATCACGTTCTCCAGGAACACTTTGAGCACTCCCCGGGTCTCCTCATAGATGAGGCCAGAGATGCGCTTCACACCACCACGGCGAGCCAGACGGCGAATGGCGGGCTTCGTAATACCCTGGATGTTGTCCCGTAAGACCTTCCGGTGGCGCTTAGCGCCTCCCTTACCCAGCCCTTTGCCACCTTTACCTCGGCCGGACATCTTTCACAACAACACGTCTAAAACCAAACAGCAATTTGCTAGTAGTTCTGTGAGCTGTGAACCTGGGCTTATAGTTCCTTCTAGCGGACCTGTTTGAAAACCTCAAGAAAGTGGGCGGAGCTATAGGCTCCAGGAGATTTCTTTCTTTCTTTCTTTTTTTTTTTTTTTTTTAAAATTCCCTCCCTATAGGGCTTCCCTAGTGGCGCAGTGGTTGAGAGTCCGCCTGCCGATTCAGCGAACACCGGTTCGTGCCCCGGTCCGGGAAGATCCCACATGCCGCGGAGCGGCTGGGCCCGTGAGTCATAGGCCGCTGAGCCTGCGCGTCCGGAGCCTGTGCTACGCAACGGGAGCGGCCACAACAGTGAGAGGCCCGCGTACCGAAAAAAAAAAAATTCCCTCCCTATAAAATTTCTTGTTTGCTTATTTGGGAAAGATTTTCTTATTTTTGCCATGAAATTGAGGAAAGACTCGATAAAATTTATTTTGCCTTTTCTCTCTCTCTCTGTAGGGCGCGGGAATTCTAATTTTATAGTTTTCAAACGGAATGCTTACTCTTATAATACCATTCTCAGACTAATGTGAAAACCAATAGGAACCAGGAATGCTTTACTACATGTTAAATTTAAAAGCGATTGCTTTACACCTGTGGATCTTTTTAAGTCACTAGTTGGGGTAGAGAAAATCTTTTAATGGTTCTTTTTTCTCTTTTGGGGGCCCCGTGGAGAAAGAACTAAAATCCTTTCAAAAAGTCTAACCTTACCCATTTCCCCCAATCCCCCCAGACTTTTCCCTTGAAGATTCTTCTGAACAGTTGGCAGACTTTACTGCCTCCACCGCCTCCAGCCGAAGCGCGTTTTTTGCGTTTCAATCAAATAACTATTTCTGTGATTATTTAGTTAAAATACTGTAATCTTATTTCATTAAAACCCGAGGTTCTCACTTAAAAATTCAAAGTTCCTGTAAAATAGTGGATGCCATGATCGTGGCTTTAAATAGTGATTTATACTGCAGATCCCCAATTAGGAGGCTCTCCATTCTTTTCTTAAGAGAATCCCTGAGCAGAAACAAAACTTGAGTAGTGTCGCCCCTCTAGGAGATAGGACTGTCTGTCTTCCCAAAAGGGTTTACTGCGATAAAAGGCAGCAGTATTTAGAGGATGATTCATAACTCTTTCCCAGGTACTTAACACCTTGAGGAACAAATATTTTAGTAAACTGTGCTCCCTGTCCCTAGTCCTGACGAATAAGCCTTTCCAGCAGGAAAGCTTTATGGTAAATATTTATATATACCTAAATGCTTATTATTTACCTATCCTTACCCATCTCCATAGCACAAAAAAGTTACTGTTATTGTTGTTAAAGAAGAATTAAAAGAGCTCTCAGAACACTCTCTGGATGGCTAAAAAAAAAAAATCCTAAATAGTCAAATTGTACCACATGATTTTAATCCTTGACTCAAAGAAGAAAAGTCTTGAAGAATCAGGATTCTTGTAATGGTAAAATAGGTTGGCTTTTAAATATTTACTAAGAAATCAAGGTTAGAACATTTTCAAGTTAGAGGTCTCTCTTGTTTACAAGAATAAAAAGTGTCCATAATAATAATAATAATAAGTCAAAAATTGGGGTCATACCCTGCGACCTCAAGTGCTAGAGGGATTTCTTGCTTCAGGCCTTGTACTTTAGAGTAGCTCTCCTTCCGGATTTTTCTTTTTCTTACCATGGTTTCTTAATTTTTTTAAACTTTTAAAAAAATTAATTAATTTATTTTTGGCTGCATTGGGTCTTTGTTACTGCGTGCAGGCTTTTTTATCTAGTTGCGGTGAGCAGGAGAGCTACTCTTTGTTGCCGTGAGCGGGCTTCTCATTGCAGTGGGTTCTTTTATTGTGGAGCATGGGCTCTAAGAGCATGGGCTTCAGTAGTTGTGGCATGCGGGCTCAGTAGTTACGGCTTGCAGGCTCCATAGTTGTGGCACACGGCCTTAGTTGCCTTAGTGGCATGTGGGATCTTCCCCGACCAGAGCTAGAACCTGTGTTTCCTGCATTGGCAGGCGGATTCTCAACCACTACACCACTAGCGCCACTAGGGAAACTCGGTTAGTTAATTCTTAAGACGTTATTTTCCTGCGAGTGAGCGAGGACGTTGAAACCTCAGGATCCTGTAAATTCAACTGAACCCCTAAGGGCGAAGCAGTCGGGCCCAGGGTATTCATATGGAAGGTTATGTAAATGAGGGTTAGCAGTTTTTCTTTTGATTGGAGCAAGCTGGAGAAGGCGGTCCTTCTGCCAGCGCTCTAATTGGGAGAAGAGCCTGCCTGTCATTGGTCACCGGAGCCGAGGTTGTTGCCGCGCCCAATGGGAAGGCGCTGCCTAGTGTCAGCAAAGTGTTGGTGGAGGCAGTTCAGATGTGGTACGTTGCCCTCCCATTCTAGGAACTGGACCGCTGGGTTTTATTTACCCTAGCTGGAGTTTTAGGCGAGAGACAAACATGTCTGGTCGCGGAAAGCAGGGCGGCAAAGTGCGGGCAAAGGCCAAGTCCCGGTCCTCTCGCGCGGGCCTGCAGTTCCCGGTGGGCCGAGTGCACCGACTGCTGCGCAAAGGTAACTACGCAGAGCGAGTGGGAGCCGGGGCGCCGGTGTACCTGGCAGCGGTGTTGGAGTACCTGACGGCGGAGATCCTGGAGTTGGCTGGCAACGCCGCGCGGGACAACAAGAAGACCAGGATAATCCCTCGCCACCTGCAACTCGCCATCCGCAATGACGAGGAGCTAAACAAGCTGCTGGGGAAAGTGACCATCGCCCAGGGCGGCGTCCTACCCAACATCCAGGCCGTGCTGCTGCCCAAGAAGACGGAGAGTCAGAAGGCGAAGAGCAAGTGACCCTGACGCCGCCACAGGAGAGCTGGCTTCCTCAGCAAAGGCTCTTTCCATAGCCACCCCGCAGTGTTTTTGAATACGGTTGATGTTATGGAGAGCCGGCGCGATCTAGTGGGGAGGTGGGCGGCGAGGGGCCCATTAGGGTCGGGGGCCAATAAAGTCGGTGAAAGTTGTCTGGTCGAGAGAACTGTGTAATCGCGGGGGCCTGCCGGGTGACCCAGGGGGCAACCGGGAGGCCTTTGGAGGAGGTACTGGTGGGTCGGCCTGAGCCACTTTCTGGGCTGCTTTGGTCCGCAGGTCACCCTCAAGGCGGGCAAGGGAGACCAGAAGGGACCCACTGGCCTGGAGGTGGGCAGAGTTGGGAACTCTTCCTCCTCGCCTGAAGGCGGAGGAGAGACAGAGTAGGTGCGAATGCGGCTGGGGGAATTATTTTTACTTTCCCTTCCCAGGGCCTTTGCTCCCCTGCCCTGTTTGGGCAGTTCAGGAACCTGTTCTAGGAAGGAGACGGTGGCTTCGAGCTGATCTTGGGCAGGAAGTTGTCTCTCCGCCCATACTTTTCAAAAGGTAAAATAACTTGCCGTCTTGGAAGTGTGGCTCTGAGGACACGGTGTCAACAGATTTTCTTGGCCTGACAGCTGTTGTGTTTTCGGTATCAGATATTTTTATGAACATGCTTATGTTCACATTTCTTTAAAATGAAGAATACGGAAGCATGAGTGTGTAATGTGTAATACGGAAGCATGAGTCACGAGGTTGGAAGTTTGTTCCCCTGACACTCATGTTGCAGAACAGTGCAGCACCTTTAGTCATGAGTTACATATGCTTATGAGCTTTAAAAATGATTTTCTTAAGTTTCTAGCTTCATAATGGTCTTATCTCCACCATGTTAGATTCCTGTGGAAATGTAATTGGTTTGATTTTGCTTTATAACAACAAATCACCCTCTTGATGTCCCTTATGTTCTACCACTGGCCTGAAGTAATGACCTCATTCCAACAATGCCTATTGGGGTTGTGTTGCTTAATGGTACAGTAATGCTTTAATAAATATGTGAGATGTGAGAAGAGGCAAGGACAAATGATTTCAGATCAAGAATTTGAAAGTTACACACTAGCAATCCAATCTGTCCTTAACTGACCCTTCCATTTCACCCTTTTCTACAAGCTTTGTCCTGGCCCTCATGCTCCACAAAATAAGATCCCCGTTTAGATTTCACGTCTTTGGATTCATCTTTCCTGTGAGTCAGAGTTGAAGTCTTCTTGAAAAGAAAAAAAAAAAAAAGAGTATGTCTTCATCCTTGGTAGTATTGTAGTTGGCCCGTTTTCTCACATGGACTGTCTTTATTTCTTCCCCAATATTTATTGAGCATGTCTATATGCCATGCACAGTACTAGGTGATGGGTGATGGGGGTATAGCTGTAGATGAGACCAACTGGATTTTGACTCTTAAAGCTCACTTATTTGTTCAGTGTCCTGAAGATAGGACACTGAACAAATAAGTTACTATCAGAGAAAGAATTCCCCATCAGCTTCCACTAGTACTTGTGTCTCTCTGTTGCTTGTGGAATGAATGTCGGGATTACTTCTCCCATGTGATCAAGATTGAAGCATACCAAGGTCAGGCCACACATACCCCTGTTCGGAGGCCTAAAGTAATGACCTCATTCCAACAATGCCTATTGGGGTTGTGTTGATTAATGGCACAGTAATGCTTTAATAAATATGTGAAATGTGAGAAAATACCAAGGGTATGTACCCAGGGCAGTTTCCAAGGTGTCCAGCTGTTTACTCCATTACCACCTTCTACTCAGAAGGCTTCCTCATATGTAAAATAATAGTCATAATACCTATTTTGATGACTGAGATTGTTCCTTTATTGCATGCCAGATATTAGATGCTCAGTAAATTGAAAGAAGTACCATTTTCTACAGGGATATAGGCTTACCTTTATAGGTTAGGGAATAGGTAACTGTAGTTAATATGATTTTGTTGTTTTTAATGCCCAATTATTAGGAATAGTTCTCATTGTTACCACTTTGTGGAGTGATGGGCAGTGGAGGGAAAAAAAGTGTATATCAGGTGCTGGTTTTGACACTTATGTCTTAATTTCCTAAAAAATTTGAGGCACGTGAAAGATTATTACCAAATGGTAAAGAAATTAGGATAGGACATTTATAAGATAAACTTTTCTTTTCCCTCTAAAGATTCACAGGAGTCTAATCCTGTTACCTGAAGATAAAAACAGGCCAGATACAAGGTACAGTGATGACCCCCATCCTCATTCTACCTTGACCACCACTGTCCCAGAG